TATAAAAATGACTTTCCCCCCTAAACTATGATCATTATTGCATTGAGAAGGGTTAAGAAGACTAGCTAGATAATCTGAAGTCAGTCTAGGGAGTATGTGCAAGTCAGAAAAATTATATTCCAGTCAAAGATAGTATGGTCATGAATTAACCATAAATTCAAATTATGGACAGATAATGTATATCATCTATATTAGCAGTCACATATTCCATTAGAAGTCACTTTTATTTCATATTTCATATTTAGAATTTACAAATGGCTGATGCCTCAGCATTTCAGAAATACTGAACAACATTGGAGGATTTTGACATTTAGTTTAAAAATGTACTTACTATTATAAATATATAATAGAAGTAATTTCATGAGCACGGCGTGATTCAAAGCACTGATGTGAAACTGAGAATGATTTTATTATTATTTCACTCACTTGAGTGCTAAGATGCATTTTGGATTTATTTAAAGTAGCAAATTTCAAACAATAATTCATTTGCATAGTTATTAATACATTCTAGACCACTAAAACTGTCCCATTTTTTAAAAACTTGTAATGTGATTTCTGGCTTTGCATCACTGGAAACACCTGGTGATGGATAGATTTGTTTTAATAGCAATGCATTATACTTATACAATTATTTTTTTCCTCATATGTTAGAGTGAAAGCAAGTTTTCATTTTCAGAGGTTTAAAAATAAATATGATGTCATTATTGCCAAACATATCAAGGAATCCAAAATTTATAAAATCTTATAAATCATGCTGCGGTGTTGACAAGACATTTACAATCACATACCATAGCAAGTTGCACTTTTTACCTGAATGGACATTTTCTTTTAAGAAGACTTTAAAATACAGAAATCTGCTCACTGTGATTATACAGGAAATAAGCAGTCAAGATGGAACAAGGAGATTGAAACAGAAAGAAGCCATGAGATTATGGAGAGAAGAATTTATTAAATTCAACTCATATCAGCAACTACTTATTAAACAGCTATCATGTGCTTTATATTCTGGAAAATACTGAGTTGCTTGAAAAAATGAATACAAGTGAAACAAGTAGGGGAAGGAGGAGAAGGAGGAAAAAGAGAAAAAAGATCACAACCCTGATCTTCTTCATCACACGGGAGTCTCTCTGGATTGACGTTATGTTCCAGTTAGGGGGATATTGTAAAGTCCCAAATGAAATACACTTAGCAGGTTCACCTTTCAATTATAACATTAGGGAGGACTTCAAATCAACCAGGAGAACTTAGCCCATCTTGATCATCTGCACAGAATGGAACATCTCCAGCATTTTATGTAGCTGTTCCGTAGCTAGGCAACCGATCCTGATCTGAGGGTAGACAGGGCATCCTCTCTATCATGAGGCTCTGATTCATGTCAATGTATGGCAAAAACCACTACAATATTGTAAAGTAATTAGCATCCAACTAATAAAAATAAAGGGAAAAAAAAAAGAGGGTGGCAGGCACCAGCAACCTTCATTCACACCTTCCTATTGCCAGAATCACTAGTTAAATGAAAGACCATTTGAGATGGACCTCAAAAAAGTCTTTCTGAAAGGCACATGCCACAGTGTTCATCAGTTCAGTTCAGTCACTCAGTCATGCCCAACTCTTTGTGACCCCATGGACTGTAGCATGCCAGGCTTCCCTGTCCATCACCATCTCCCAGAGCTTGCGCAAACTCATGTCTATTGAGTCGGTGATGCCATCGAACCATCTCATCCTCTATCATTCCTTTCTCCTCCCCAATGTCAGGATTTTTTTCCAATGAGTCAGTTCTTTGCATCAGGTGACCAAAGGACTGGAGCTTCAGCTTCAGCATCAGTCCTTCCAATGGATATTCAGGACCAATTTCCTTTAGGATTGACTGGTTTGATCTCCTTGCAGTCTAAGAGACTGTCAAGAGTCTTCCCCAACAGCACAGTTCAAAAGTATCAATTCTTTGGCATTCAGCTTTCTTTATGGTCCAACTCTCACATCTATACATGACCACTGGGAAAACCATAGCTTTGACCATATGGACCTTTGTTGGTAAAGTAGTGTCTCTGTTTTTTAGTATGTTGTCTATGTTTGTTGTAGCTTTTCTTACAAAGAGCAAGTGTCTTTTAACTTCATGACTGCAGTCACCATCTGCAGTGATTTTAGAACCCAAGAAAATAAGGTCTGTCCCTGTTTCCATTGCTTCCCCATCTGTTTGCCAGGAAGTGGTGGGACCGCATGCCATGATCTTAGCTTTCTGAATGTTGAGCTTTAAGCCAGCTTTCTCACTCTCCTCTTTCACTTTCATCAAGAGGCTCTTTAGTTCCCCTGCTTTCTGCCATCAGGCTGGTGTCATCTGCATATCTGAGGTTATTGGTATTTCTCCTGGCAATCTTGATTTCAGCTTGTGCTTCACCTAGCCTGGCATTTCACATGATGTACGCTGCTTAGAAGTTAAATAAGCAGGGTGACAATATACAGCCTTGATGTACTCCTTTTCCAATTTGGAATCAGTCCATTGTTCCACATCCAGTTCTAACTATTGCTTCTTGACCTGCATATAGCTTTCTCAGGAGGCAGGTAAGGAGGTCCAGTATTCCCAACCCTTTAAGAATTTTCCACAGTTTTTTGTAATCCACACAGCCAAAGGCTTTAGCATAGTCAATGAAGCAGAAGTGGATGTTTTTCTGGAATTCTCTTGCTTTTTCTATGATCCAAAGGATGTTGGCAATTTGATGTCTGGTTCCTCTGCCTTTCCCAAATCCAGTTTGAACATCTGGAAGTTCTCAGTTCATGAACTATTGAAGCCTAGCTTGGAGAATTTTGAGCATTACTTTGCTAGCATGTGAGATGAGTGCAATTGTGCAGTAGTTTGAACATTCTTTGATATTGCCTTTCTCTGGAATTGGAATGAAAACTGACCTTTTCCAGTCCTGTGGCCACTGATGGGTTTTCCAAATTTGCTGGCATATCGAATGCAGCACTTTCACAGCATCATCTTTTAGGATTTGAAATAGTTCACCTGGAATTCCATCACCTCCACTAGCTTTCTTTGTAGTGGTGCTTCCTAAGGCCCACTTGACTTCACACTCTGGAATGTCTGGCTCTAGGTGAGTGATCACATCATCATGGTTATCTGGGTCATTAAGATCTCTTTTCTGTAGTTCTTCTGTGTATTCTTTCCACCTCTTCTTAATATCTTCTATTTCTGGTTAGGTTCATACCATTTCTGTCCTTTATTGTGCCCATCTTTGCATGAAATGTTCCCTTGATAGTTTTAATTTTCTTGAAGACATCTCTAGTTTTTCCCTTTCTGATTTTTCCCTCTATTTTTTTGCACTGATCACTTAAGAAGACTTTCTTATCTCCCCTTGTTATTCTTTGGAACTCCCATGGTAGTTTGAAATTACTTGGGAGCCGTTCTTTACCATGGCTGAAAAAAGTGCATGGGGCACTGGGACATAGTAGAACTATAAAAATAGTAAGGTATTCACAGGCTGGAAGAGGGATAGTGGGCGTGATATTCAAATGAACAAAGTACAGTTGATGGCACATCCAATGGATGTAAATCATTTACTCAAGGTTTTTTTTAATAATCCCGAGGTTTCTCCTACTTGCTAAAAAGAAGTGTGAAATAAGACGAGTACCTACCTTTTTCAGATTGCCCTAGAAAGGACTGCTCTCTCCACTGCAATTTGGAGTGAGAAAACTGGGGAGAAGAGGGATGGAATGCAGTAATAATCTGAATTGTGACTACAAATATTAATGGGTTTCATACAACTTCTAACATGTTTAACATGGTGGTGTGTGCACAGACCTGGGCAACTTATGAGTGTGGGGAAGAAATCACAGGACATGAAATTTAGGGCAAGAGAAAATACCATTCAGTCCAGCCCCTCACTTTTGATGTGAGGGGCTGAGACTCAGGAGATGAACCAACTTTTCCAGGACAACACAGTGACCTCACAAGAGCAAGAGGTATACAGCCTGGATTTCCTGTCACCTCCTTTAGGCCTTCACAATGAGGTACCATTACACGCCAGTCAGGATGGCTGCTATCCAGAAGTCTACAAGCAACAAACACAGGAGAGGGTGTGGAGGAAAGGGAACCCTCTTACACTGCTGGTGGGAATGCAAACTAGTACAGCCACTATGGAGAACAGTGTGGAGATTCCTTAAAAAGCTGGAACTAGAACTGCCATATGACCCAGAAATCCCACTTCTGGGCATACACACCGAGGAAACCAGATCTGAAAGAGACACATGCACCCCAATGTTCATTGCAGCACTGTTTATAATAGCCAGGACATGGAAGCAACCTAGATGCCCATCAGCAGATGAATGGATAAGGAAGCTGTGGTACATATACACCATGGAATATTACTCAGCCATTAAAAAGAATTCATTTGGATCAGTTCTAATGAGATGGATGAAACTGGAGCCCATTATACAGAGTGAAGTAAGCCAGAAAGATAAAGACCAATACAGCATACTAACACATATATATGGAATTTAAAAAGATGGTAATGATAACCCTATATGCAAGACAGAAAAAGAGCCACAGATGTACAGAACAGACTTTGGGACTCTGTGGGAGAAGGCGAGGGTGGGAAGTTCTGAGAGAACAGCATTGAAACAAGTATACTATCAAGTGTGAAACAGATCACCAGCCCAGGTTGGATGCATGAGACAAGTGCTCAGGGCTGGTGCACTGGGAAGACCCAGTGGGATGGGATGGGGAGGGAGGTGCGAGGGGGATCGGGATGGGGAACACATGTAAATCCATGGCTGATTCATGTCAATGTATGGCAAAAACCACTACAATATTGCAAAGTAATTAGCCTTCAACTAATAAAAATAAATGGAAAAAAAAAAGTAAAACACAAGTTGTCAGACGTGACTGGTGTATGGAAATCACACTTGAAAGACTATTTAGGAGGCAAAATAAAGTAGTAGAACTACAAGTGATGCCCTCACTTTTTCAACTTACAATTTCAAAGGAAACAAACTGCTTTACTCACCTGCCGGGAAAAACTCGCCCATTTTCTTTTTGTAGATTTTGAAGTCGACTTCTAGGAAGACACAGAAGATGATCCGATCCACCTAGGGGCAAACAATAGATACTTAAAGTGAGAGGTAATATGGCAAATGCATTCCCAGAACATGGTCTTGGAACAAAAAATAAAGAGAAGACCCTCTCGCAGATTCTTGGTGCTATACTGCTAACTATATGAGAGTACCAAGGGAAGTGCACACATGTGAGTGTGCGTGTGTGTGTTTGTGAATGCACTCTCTATGTAAATAAACCCATGGGCAATTTGGTGGAAAGATGTTGTATAAATCAAATAAGAAATAATAAATGACAATAAGCCACTTTGCAGCAAGCTATAAATAAGATCTGAGATTCCACCAGGATACCTAAACTTTTATGTTCTATTAAACAGCCACACGAGAGGTGTACAGTGGAATGACAATAAAGTATGTCAGTAAACAGAGAGCTCTTTGTCCTACCCTTGTTAAACAAATATATTTATCAAAACTATTAGTATTTGAACATGACCTAAAAAGCTTCACACAGTATAATTTGCATGCAGTCACATGCTTTTAGCTTTACATACTTGGAAATGCAGCAGAAATAAACTATAATTAGTTGACAGTACATGAGGCCAATATAACTAATCTGGTAGGTTATTACTGAATAAGGAAATGCCACTTCAGAGGTAAAATGTTTGCACAGTCCCTTTTTTCTATTTTGAGAGCTTCTGCATGTAAGGAGTTTCTCTGAGACATTCCTAGAGTAATTGGTACCAGAGAAGAGAGATGGGGTACACCTAACAGCTCAGGGATATCTGATATTAAATCAGTGACTCAATTTTGTGTCTTGAAAACTAACACCCCCTTTGTTCCTTTATTTTAACAATGTACAAAAAGTTAAAAATTACTCCATTCATCAAATTGCAACTGGCAATTGAACAGAACATCAGTAGGGAACAGAAGTGGGGTGTGTGTGTGACAGGACAGGAGAAAACCCAAAGGGATTTCATCCACCCAACCTCTCAGCTCTCCCAGCCTGTAGGGGACAGAGTCACATGAGCCAAGTCCCAGAGTTCCTAGGAGGAGAGTGATCTACATGACTGAGAGGGGAGAGAGAGGATTAGGACACGAAGAATCACCAGGGTTCTCTGAGCTGATGGAGGCTCAGAGATGTGGCTTCCTGACCCCTGCACAAGGCTAGACCCCCAGCTAAGTGGACTGCCTCCTGGGCAGTCACTGGACTTTAACAAAAACCGTGCATCCCCAGCCACTGTTCCCACAGGGTGGCGAGAGCACCTAGCCTTCAGAAATGGAAGGACTGGGGTATAAATAACCCTGCTTTCCTTTCCCTCTATTCACCTGAGTTTCTGGTGTCCAGTCCTGCCTACGTGGTGTTAACATTTTCGACAAATGTAAAAACTCACCATCAACTCACTCTCCAGGTTACGTATACATTTAGTTGAATCAATGATTAACTATCTGTACAATACTGAATGCTCACCTCCAATTTCCCTATGGAGTGTTTATGCCCTGCAGCTAAAGATAAAAATCATAATGTCGAGCATTAAAAATGAGTTACAAAAGGACATACATGCTCTGAGGCCATACATGCTCTGATGCCACTACACAAAGTTTTAAAACACAAATATAGAAGAGTGTAGAGATTCGTTCATAAGCATTAACTCCCAGAAACATATGTAGGAAAGTTGTACATGAACTTCAAGACAATGATGATATCTGGAAACGGAGGGAAGGTAAAATGATGGACTGGTGAGGCTTTAACTGAATAGTGAATATTTTATTTATATAGAAAGAAAATAGATTCAAGAAAAAATATGGTGATGGGTAACTGCTATTAACTATGGGGGTAGGTACATAGATATCATATTCTATACTCATTCTATATCCTTCTATATATATGAAATACACCATAATTAAAAGTCCTAACATTAAAAATAAGATTCTGTTACTATTCAGTCATAAAAATGAAATAATATCATTTGCAACAACATAGATGGGCATAGAGATTATCATACTAAGTCAGAAAGAGGACAAATACCACATGATATCACTTACATTTGGAATCTAAAATATGACACAAATGACCTTATCTATGAAGCAGAAATAGACTCATAAACACAGAGAACAGACTTGCGGTGGCCAAAGGGAAGGAGAGGTAGGGTAGGGATGAGGTGGGAATTTGGGATTAGTAGATGCTAATTATTTTATATTGAATGGATAAACAACGAAGTCCTATTGTACAGCTCTGGGAACTATATTCAATATCCTGTGATAAATCACAGTGGAAAATAATATGAAAAAGAATATATATTATATATGTATATATAATATATATGTATAACTGAATCACTTTCCTGTATGGCAGAAACTAACACAATATTGCAAGTCACTTATAGGTCAATATAATATAGTTCAGTAAAAAAAGTAAGCTTCTGTGTTAGACATACTCTACTTTTCAGCTTCAGTAAACTACTTATAATTTCCAAACACCATAATTATTCTCACTTCTGTGCTTTTGATGGTTGACTTTTTTCTCCAGGCTTCAAATGATCGGACTATCTCTAAAGTCCTCTAATTAAGATCAAAATCAAAACAAGAAAACTTGGTTCAAAGCAGATCTAAGAAGAACAAGCCAAGCCAGACAGTCTCATTTGTACTAATTTCTCCTTATTTTTATGTTCACTTAATATAAATTGTGGAATTAAAAACAACACTTACGTTGCGTGTGTGTGGAGTACACTTGTTGGGGGTGAGGGAGGGTTAGTGGTAATGTTATTCTCTGCTATTAAGTGTACTTTTAGGCACTACAGACTAAATCCAGATTTCTTAAATATTGTGTGGAATTATAATCCACCTTTTAACATTTTAGGGTTTGTTACCATGGAAATGGTATGGGTCCAAAATTCAGCAGCCTGATTTATTCTTTTTTTTTTTTCCTCACAGAGAGAAGATGGATGATGAAGGAAAAGTATTTTTATTTTAAACTAATTGGGTGGCCCAGTTCTCTGCCCTTATCCTTAGGCATAACACTGGAAATATCTTAGAAGCAAGTTAAATCCAAGAATTAACCTCATTTGCCAAGTACTTGTTATATATATACACATATGTGCATGTATTCTCATACATATATATGCTTGGGGTTATTGTTGGATAAGAGCTCATTTAACTGGCAAGCTCTGTGTTTATAAACTCATTATGGGTATTGGTCACCACTTGTGGTGGACTGTATTTTCCAAGATGGTGTGCAAGATACCCCATCCTTCAGGTTCCTCTTAAGATGTAATGCTGACCATCTTCTCATTGAGAGGTGGGGTCTATATTTCCTTCTCTTGAATCTGGGAGTGCCTAGAACCCTTGCAGAAATGATATGTGAGTTCTGGGTCCATGTTGTGAAAGGTGATACAGTTTCTGCCTGGTTCTCTTGGGATACTCACTCTCATACCTAATCATTGTGCCCTGAGAATCAGAGGTCCCTGGAGAATTCATTTGCAGAAGGTCTAGCCGACAGACCCAGCTGGAAGTGAGTATCCCCTGGGTGATTTCAGCTCCTGGCTTTTGAGCTATTCTAGGTAATACCATCTGGGCCAGAGACGAGCGCTTCCTGCTGAATTCTGCCCAAACTCTGGATTCACGTGCAAAACCTCGAATTGCATAGTTAGAAACTGGATATTCTTCTAGCTCCTGCCTATTGCCATTTTTGGATTCTTGCTTCTCCAGCTGCATGGTATTGCCTCTTACTGAAAAGCTCAGAGTTGACTGGATCAAGTAGAAGTCACAATGGAATGACAAGAGGAATACAGACAGTGTAATTACTACACAGTTGAGAGAGAGAAAATCTGACTTGTGCAAAGGAGGAAGAACCTGGGTGATCCATTCTAGCTGCAGATAACTTTCATGAGCATATCGAAAGATGCCTCAGTACTGAGGCTTTGGAGCATGATTTCAATTTTCTTCTATATTAGGTATAAATAAAATGATTTTGTACAAATGGTTGCTCTTGAGAGACTATATTTATTCATTTGTTCTTCAGATATTAATTGAGCACCTTCAGTTTGTGGGTCTTAGCAAGTCTCTCATAAGAAAACTTGAATCCAGAATTGAGAGATGTTTCCCCCACCCAAGGCCAAACAACTAGTGGCAGAATTCCAGGCCTCTTACCTTCACATGAAGGGTTCTTTCTGTGAAGTCACCCAGATGGTGACCCGAGGGACTGCGTTTCTGGACTGGTCACTTGCTCTGGGACACTGGACGAGCCATTGTCTCTCTGGGCCTCAGTGTTCACGTCTCATAAGGAAAGGATTGCATTATATCATCTCTATCACTTCTTCTTTTTTATCTCAGAGTCTATCTCTGTGGTTGTGTGATACAATGTCAATTGAGTCAAGCTGAAATCACGTTTCTGTGAAGAGTTCTGGCTTAGAGTTGTCCACAGAGCAATTGCTATGAGATCTGGGGGCAGAAGTGTGGCTGCACCCACTGCTCTGGGCAGGCGTGGAGGCTTCCGGGCAGGTCTGTGTTGTTGCTCACTCCTGGCTTACCTGGGTGTGGCCCACCGCACCTCCCTTAGCCCTGCTAGCCCTCTGAGTCCTGGGCCAGGCACACGCAGCCCTGTGCCCAGGGCACCGGCTCCTCTTCTGCGGGGCACGGCAGCTCCGGGCTTCTGGGCACCAAGAGGCACATGTACGAGGCAGTTTGTTCCTGGGGTTCTTCTTTGCTCGCGTGGCTCCCACTGTCTTTGCTCACTTCCATTGGGCATCCAGCTGTCCTCATGACCCTCCTGCCCTGCTAACACCCTCCAGGCCCAGTCAGATGTGGAGGTTCGGCACCTCCCTCTGCTGAGCCCTAGGTAGGGACTCTTCTCTGTTCTGCAAAGTCATCCCCTTCTGGACACTGACTTCCTCAGTTTCTCACTGCTGAATAAGTTCTAATCCATATAAGAAAAACCCTATTCCATATCTCTCATAAAGTTCTGCTTCCCTGATTACGCTCAACTGATGTAATCTTTAAATCATTTAGTTGGATATTATGGAAAAGAACATGATGCAGGGCAAAGAATAATAAAAATGCTCCTTTATGAAAGGGTATAACCTGTCAAGGTTACTCAGAGTCTGGTGACTTTCTTCAGTATAGACTTTGGTTGATCCCAGTCCATCTTCTTGGTGAACTTCCTAATGTATGCAGGCGATGTTTGGTAGTTAAAGAAACTTCTGTACTTAAAATGACTCACATTCTTCTTTTTTAATGTGCAAGTTATTAGTAAACTCAGATGGGTCCTCAGGCTAACACACACTTGCAAATAATATAAAAGGTGACATTAACATTTTTAGGAATTGATGATGTAACTGTAGTTCTTGTTACACTATTAAACTAGAACCTTACAAAGACTGGGGTGATGCTCACCTTTGCATTGTGTAGTTCCTGACACATAACAGGAACTGTGTAAATATTCCCAGAGTACTAGTTAAGGAAAACAGAGCTGACTAAAAGGCAAGTTCATGGCAGATGTATTTCAAGGATATTTTAGTTCCAGAACCAAAAATGACTTCTTTTGGAAGAACACAAGACTTTCACTTATGTTTGTCGGAGGACCTAAGTACAGAATTATAGAGGGGCCTGGATGTTTTACAAAAAGTAGAAAAGAGCTACACAAAGGGTGAGTCATTTATTGTTACTGATTGTCATTTTATCCAATGAAACTATGCCAGGTACAAAGGTGCCTGAGCCCAGGACTGATGTTTTTATACAGGGTGCTTCTTAGTTTCATAACAGAAACAGTGATAGTACCTGTAAACTATGATGTTTTAAAAGTTTTAAAAACCTTTTTAAAGTGAATAAACAGTATCAAATATTGGCAAGGATGTGGGTTAACAAGAACTTTCATATACTGCTTTACAGGAGAATTATGTGGCAGTACCTACTAAATTAGCTGAATATGTATATACCCTACAACCCCACAATTCCACCCCTAGGCAGACACCCAGCAGAATGTATATGTATGTTTACAAAAGGACACATTCTGCAACGTTCACAGCAGCACTAATTTGTAGTTATCTCCAAGTTGGAAGCTACTTACTGCCCACAAAGAGTAGAATGAATAAATTAATTGTGATCTATTCATACGAGGGGCTTCCCAGGTGGTGCAAGGGGTGAAGAACCTGCCTTCAATGCAGGGGACATAAGAGACACAGGTTCAGTCCCTGGGTCGGGAAGATCCCCTGGAGGCGGGCATGGCAACCCACTCCTGTATTCTTGCCTGGAGAATCTCATGGACAGAGGAGCCTGGTGGGCTGCAGTCCATAGGGTCACACAGATTCAGACACAACTGAAGTGACTTAGCATGCATGCACGCATGCATACAAGGGGATACACAAAAGTTTAAAAATGTTAGAGAAATAGGAAGAGTCACCTATGGTGTTAAAAATAAACACAGCAAATTACTCTGGGGTGAGGGTTGGTGAAAAGGATCCTAGGAAAATGCTTGGGATCCTGGTTTTTCAGTCTGGGTGCTAGCTCCGTAGATGTGTTCAGTTTGTGAAAAGTCATACTTAGGATCTGTGTCCTCTGAATATTATACTTCAATAAGAATTTTTTCTAAGATTGAAAGTCTTTTGTTACAGTTGTCTTGGTCAACAATCAAAAATCCATTTTCACTGACTTAGAGGTCAAAAAACTCCTTTAAAAACTGACCTTCTGAAGGCAATCTCTCTATTTCTTCTGATGCCAACTGTAGCTCACCCATCAAGGCATAAAGGAGTAAAAATGTATTTTTCTCCACCAAGATACCCATTAATCCACAGTTGGGGGTTTTACGCCCCATAAATATGATGACATAAGGTCTATTAATCTTTTTCAGCATCACAGCCACTGCCCCTGAAGAGGGTTATGCAGCAAAGCAGGTTTGGAATATCTGTGGCCGACCTCCATTTTTCATGGCTACCAGTCCTAGGGCAGCTCACACAGCCAAGATTATCGTGGGTTCAGTGATCCTGGGAGAATGAATGGAGTCTGATGAATGCAACTTGCTTCCCCAATGACAAATGACAAACACTCAGAGACCTAGCGTGCAGGCAAATATGGCCTTAACTGATGGAGGGGTATCCTGTGTAAATTCAGCCTGATGGGCAAGCAGATATTCAGACTTATTGACAGATAAACCAACACCCTCACCAGGACAGGCTTGGATATTGGGGATCTTCCTAAAACAGTGGCTGCTGCTAATAAGTGAATTAAATTCCAAGGCTTAAGTACCAACATGACATGAGAACAGGTTTTGAGATGGACGGAAGACCAGGACAACAGGAGCTTGCTTGGGGCTTTGGGTAAGTCAAGTTTAAACAGAGTTATAAAGGGATACAGTCACTACTGAATAAAGAACAAAATCAAGAAATGGATACATTTCTGGGTCCTAGCCCCTTCTCTTTGATTCTGTGGAGTAAAAGGAGACCAATCTCTCCTCGCCCCAGTATATTAGTTCTGGTGTCATATAACAGATGACCACAAACTTAGCAACTTATAAAACAAAGTTTTATTGTCTTAGAGTTTCTATAGGTCAAAAGTCCAGACCATACAGAGTTGGGTCCTCCACTCAGGGTCTCGGAAGCTGCAATCAGGTGTCAGCTGCCCTGAAGTTCTCACCTGAGCCCAGGGTCCACTTACAGCCTCATTCAGCTTGTTGGCAGACTCTAGTTCTCGATGGCTGTAGGGCTGAGGTCCACAATATCTTGCTACTTGTTGACTGGGGACAGTTTTAGCTTCTAGAGGTCACCTGCAATTCCTTGTCATGTGGCCTTGGAAGGCAGTTCAGGATATGGATTCTTTTTCCTTTCAGGCCGGCAAAAGTATGTGTCTACAACTTCCTCCATCTCCAACCTGCAGATGCCTTTTAAGAGTTCAGGCACCATCAGGAAACTCTCCTTTTTAATGAGCTAAAGTGATTAAATATCTTCATTACATCTTTTATAAAAAGTCTCTTCTGACTAATTTGGGGAGTGGCCACCCCATCATATTTATATTTACAGGAGAAGACAGGCAGGGGCTACGGGCTTGGGGACATCTCTGTCTCCCGTCTCCCACAGTGAGTCACCTCTGTATTCCAACACTAGCTGGCTGTGTTCCAACCTGGACCTGACCACTTAGCTGCTCTCTGATCCTGAGTATGCCACTACTCTTTCTAAGCCTCGGTCTCCTCATCTCTAAAATGGAAATGCTGACCTTGTGGGGGCTGATATATTAGCTTCTTCTGTTGCATAACAAGCGACCCCAAGCTTTGTGGCTCAGAACAACCTCTGACTATTAGTTTAGGGTTTGGTAGATAAAGTCTTCCTGGTGTGACTGTGATTTCTGGTCAGGTATCAAAAGGCTGAAATCAAGGTGTCATCAGGGCTGAAGGCTAATCTGGAGGCCGTTAAGAGAAAGCCACTGCCAAGCTCTTTCTTGCTGGCAGAATACAGTTCCCTGCAGGTGAGAACTGAGGTCCCTGTCCTCTGGCTGACTGCCAGTTGGAGTCCACCTGCCTCCCTTGCCAAATACCTGCCTCCATCTTCAAGACAGTGAAGATGAGTTAAGTCCTTGATTCTGAATCTCTAACTTCCTTCATATCTGACATCTAGACCCAGATGTAAAGAACTTTTGTCATCTGGCCCACTTGGATGGTCTCCCTACCTTAAGGTCAACTGATTTGGGACTTTAATTACATCTGAACAACCTTTTCCCTGCATTTTCAGACCTAGATTACTGTTTAAACAACTGGGAGAAGGTATGTGTGCACCAGACACTGGGAATCTTGGGAGAACCTCAGAATCTTTCTGTCACAGCTTGCTGTAATGACCACTTGAGACAGTCTATGTAAAGTGCTTGGCAAAGGGCCTGACATGGAGTAAGCTCATAAACATTGATTGTTTATAAAGTTGTTATTCACAAGGTACTTGAAACACTTAGCACAGCACTGGCATAAAGATAAAATCACTGTTCTATCCTGACCTTTTAAAACAGGTCAAGGAAAAGTATAAGCCAAAGAGAGAACACTGGAAATGCTTTTACTGACTGGTATGCAGAAAGGTCACTTTATTCTACTTCCAACTTTGCAGAGGAATTCTAACTTAAAAGAAACATTTACAAAAATGGTCCATATTATATATAAAGCAGCTTTCTTTTTTTTTTTTTTTTAGTTTGATCATACCAGCCAATGAGAGAAAGGAAAAAAAAAAAAGAATAAGTTCACAGTTGAAGCTGCAGTAATGGAAAAGATTTCACAAGACCCTCCAGGAGTCTTAGGTCTGATATTTTAATATCGTTGTCAAATGTCACTGAATATAATTCTTCCGGCTCTTGAAAGTATTAAGTATGTCTGTATTTGCGCACTCCACCACAGACACTAGTATTCCAATCTGTAAATTACAGAATGAGAAAAATTTTCTTTCTGTGTTTCCAGAGACATTCGGAGGAGTTGGAGAGCATTCATAATCCATACACATTCAAAGGGCATCTTTGCATTTTGAAATTACTTCTGCATGCATAAAAAGAATCCTTTATTGTTGGGGGCTTTTTGCAAACTCAGTTCATCTGTCATTACTCGGTGGCAGCACAATTCAGAGTCTTCTTGTTTTGTTTTGATAAATTGCTCTTTTTGACTTTTCTTCAACTTTATAAGAAAAAATTGCCATGGAGCCAAAGAACCAAGACTTATTTTGACTTGAGCTGGAGGCTCATTCATACAAGTTAATTTCCAAACCTGCCTTGCATCCATCAAAGTGGACA